GTGATGATTGTAATGGCGATTAGGAGGTAAACTGGAGGGAACAAGAAATACATCCTCGAAATCTTTCAATAAGTGAGTGACACCGGTATCTGTCTGTGAGCATAGTGGAGCTTGCTGATTAATGTCAAGTGGAGGTGTACTGGAGAGACACATTAAACAACCCGAAATTGAATCCTGGGCCACCAACTTGTACAACTGTGAAGATGTAATCAGTTGCGGACCCAATGTAGCATCCCCTTGTAAAATGACCTGGGAATTATTAGAATTGAATGTCATGGTGAAAGCAGAATAGTCTGTGAGTATAGGCCCCAAAGTGGATAACCATTGAACTCCCAAAACAAAGTCTGCCCCCTTTAAATCCAGCACAAAGAGGTCAATTACAAAGTGATGACCTTAAATAGTAATGGTTATAGACGTACAAGAGGCTGAGCACAACAATGCATCTCCATTTCCCACTTGCACCTTAAATGGTATAATGGCATTCAAAACCAATTTCAGGTGAGAGGCCATCCGTAAGGTGATAAAATTATGGGTACTGCCCCCATCAATTAAAATCTGCATGGGCTGACCTGAAATAAAACCGGTCAAACGAAAAGAATTAGTGGATCGATGCCCAAATAAGGCATTAAAACTAATCTCAGGCTGTGGGCTATGTGCAGGCAGAGGGTCGTTCATAGCAATCAGGTCAGAATCCTCATCTGGAAGTTCATCCTCTATTCCCTCCAAATACAAAAGAGAGGCACGCCCTTTACACTTATGGCCAGGCATAAACCGCTCATCACAATTGTAACAAAGGTTTTTTTCGCGTCTAGCTTGCATTTCTTCTTGGGATAGCCTTTTGATAGGTATATTAGGTAAGGCCGAAAACTGTCTGGTGGAATTATTGTGAGGTCGTATGGATGTGGAATTGTCAGGTAAATGGTTGACGGTCAGGGCAGTAGTAGGTGAGGGTACACTAGAACGTACAGACCATGGTTTCACAGAGCGGTCATCCAGGAACTGCTCCTCATATACTTTAGCATAGGCAAAAGCCTCTGTCATAGTGGCTGGTCTATGAATTAGAACAGATCTGCGTATTTTGGGTTTGAGGCCAGAAAGAAATAAACTCTTACGAGTTGTGCTTGACAATTCAGGAGCTCGACGAGCAAGTTGCTCAAAGGCAGTCTGGTATTCAGCAACCGTTGTAGATTGCTGCAATTTAGCTAGCCCAATAGTAGGATCATCAAATTCAGTAGGGCCAAAGCGTTGATGTAAGGCAGTAACAAAGGTTGTCCAATTTGGAAAATTATTATTCTCAGAAATGCTTTGAAACCAACAAGCTGCTGGTGTATCCAGATTAAAAGAAACCATTAAAATTTGTTCATCCGGTGGAACATGATAAAAGCGAAAATAATTTTCAACAGCAAACAACCAATTGGATGGATCTCCAGATCCAAATCTGGGGAAATCCATCTTCATAGCACGAGAGCGAATCGGTTCACCCGTATTTCGAGTGGGACCAGAGCCCAAAATACCTGCACCAGAGTTACTGGCTGAAGCGGTGCCATGAGTGGACTGAAGTAGAGTCATGATTTCATTCAATTGTTGACGGAATTCCTGACGAAATTCATCAAAACGCTGATTTTGCTGGAGCTCCATGGTTTCTAGTCGGCGATCCTGAGTAATTTCAAAATTCGCCCATTGTTCAGCTGCAGTTTGACGCTGGAGTTGTAGATCCTGGATTTGTTCAGCGATAGCACGGAGTCTAGTATTGTCTGCCATTAGATCTCGATGAAAGCACCAATGAAACAGTAGAAGGTAGTGTAGAAGAAGAAGAGAAGAAAGGGATCTGAAAGAAGAGAGAAGAGAGAAGAGAGAGAAGTTTGGAAATTTTCTTGTTACCCTTTTCTTATTACTATTCGTATTTAAAACAACGCATTACATCTACGTTCACAATCTTCCTGCTTACTACAATCCTTATGGGCTACTACAATTCCCTAGCCCACTAAGTTTATAATATTTCTAATGGGTTGTTAAATCATCTAACCTAATAGATAGTCCTTCAGATAACCCGGTAGGTTCCTCCTCCTTGGGCCAAGAGACATGGGCTTGGTTACATAAAGTGTCTTAATTACATGATAAGTGAGCTAATTATTGCATATTCATGATTAAGTGCTTTAAAATGACTAAGTATGAAAAATGAGAAAATATTCCATGATTTTTGTGTAAGAATAGATGACTTGTTGACTGCTTTGTCTTTACAGGAAAAGTTGTTTCCCGTGTGTTGTAGCAGGAAAGCTGACAAGTGAAGGGAACAGTGACCTTTGTGCCACTCTTAGAAGACAAACTTACCTAAATGTCACGCCAAAAAACAATTTTACCAAACTGCCACGAGGGCAAGTTCGCCCAGAGCAGTAGCGAACTTGGTATGCTGATGTGTCAGCTTCCTGGTGGTGTAAGAGTTCGCTTCTGACACAGGCGACCTCGGTTGAAATTAATGCCTCACCTGCCAGGCCACGTGGCTTGCATGCAGCAGAGGTTGCCTGTGTCAGAAGCGAACTCTGACACCACCAGGAAGCTGACACATCAGCATACCAAGTTCGCTACTGCTCTGGGCGAACTTGCCCTCGTGGCAGTTTGGTAAAATTGTTTTTTGGTGTGGCATTTAAGTAAATTTGTCTTGGAACAGTGACACAAAGGTCACTGTTCCACAAGTGAAGTAATGATATAGCAATCAGGACGACAATACAGCGAGGACGAGAGAGCAATTCAAAATTCAAAAGTTAGTTACAAAATGATAATGCACCAGCAAGCAAGGGATGCAGACGTTTTTAAAGATCAAATCATATCTTAAATCTCAATAACCAAGGATGATAAGCTCTTATCCTCTAAGCAACAATATTTTCAGATTATTAATCTCATATAAAATATTAATCTTAATTTCCAGTTAAACTTGTTTATGTCATTATTTTTTACGGGTAAATTATGAAAAATAATTCAATTATTAATCTCATATAAAATATAAATCGTAATTTCTTTTTGTACTATACGAAGGAGAAAAGTTTTGGTGTATTGGGACTAACAAAACTCGGGTTTTTTTCTGTTAAAAAGAGATTTCCCCCCTTTTTAGCCATACTTTTTTTTTATTTTTATATTTCCCTTTAAATTTTAAAATATTTTTCATTTTAATAAAATGACTACCGAGTTTCTATGATCCCAATGCACCAAAACTTTTCTCTATATGAAGATAAAATGGTTAAATTTTTCTCTAGTTATTGGAAATAAAAAACTTAACTTCTTGCATACTCAAATAATAGGAGAGAGACAAAGAGATGAATGGGAGAAATTTTTTTGGGTTCAGTGTGAGTCATTTTAAACTATGTAAGTTGTGTTCGTTTAGTTTTTTACTTTATGTACTCTTAATAATAAAGAGTTATAACATGAAAAGTTACATTTTTTTCATTTTCCACATCTGTTGAGGAAAGAGAAAAAAAAAAAAAACTTTCATATTATAACTATTTAGAGCCCGTTTGTTTCGTCTTCTCCAAAAAGTAATTTTTATCTCTTCCTTGATTTAGAAGTGTTATTTACAAAAGTTAAAGCTATTTATATTTTTATAAAAATATTTAGTTTTTGAAAAAAATATTTGACTTTTAACTTTTGCTTTTTTTAGAAGTTGAAATTTTTAGCTTATGAAAAAAGTAAATTTTTGACTTTTTTTGTGACTTCTGTTTTTTTTTTTAAAAGCAACAACCAAACGCATTAAAAATGAGAAATGCTTTTTTTCAAGAAAAAAGAGAGTAATTTTTGGAGAAAAAATACTCATCCAAACGAGCCTTTATTATCAGAAATATATAGAGTAAAAAATTAAAAGAATATAAGTTACTCCATTTAAAATTACAAATAGTTTTCCCAATTTTTTTTGTATAGTACCGTGTGAAAAATGTGATTGCCTTAAGGAAGAATGTTCTGTAGTGAAAGGGGAGTAACTATTCTCCGAAGATAGAATTTTTTTTTTTTTTGGATATTAAAATCTCATATGGTCTTATTAAGATTTATTAAAAGAGATTAGCGCCATCCTTATGTGAAGCTTGGCTTTTTTTTTTTTTACATTGCCCATTAGGTATCCCCATTCAACTTTCTCCGGGCATGCCCTCGGCCTATTTGGGCTAGCCCCTCATTGTAACAGTGGGTACACTAAGCTTCGCAAAATGCCCTCGGTCCATTTGGGCTAGCTCATTGTAATCCCCATTCAACTTTCTTCGGGCATGCACTCGGCCCATTTGGGCTAGCCCCTCATTGTAACAGTGGGTACACTAAGTTTCGCAAACGGAGAAAGAACGAGACTAATTCCCCAACTGACGATTTTTGACTTATCCTCTGACCCCAAAAATTATCCAAAAAACTACTTTGAGGCAGAGTTTAATCTCTGCACCAAGCAATCCCTTGAGAGCTCAGCTGCCAACTGAGCTGCCCTTGGCGTTGAAGCTTGGCTTTTGAGTTAGGGGTTGTTGGGTTTATATTTTTTATTTCCCTTACCCTATTGATCTCCCAATTATTCCCCCTTCCCTGTCCCATTTGCAGCAGAATCGCATTCCCTTCTTTTTAGCACACGAACACATCGCATACCTTGAGGTATTTCTGATGCTTAATGCTTCTCTTTAGAGTTTTTGATTACTGAATCACAATAATCTGTTCTCATTTTAAATATAGATCATTTCATTCTCTTTTGTGATCCTTACTATTCTTCAATCCTTATCACTCGCATGTGTGAATTTCTCAATAAACTGAGTTGAGGGATTAATAATGTTACCATAACACATAAAAAGCTACTAACTTTCCGTTAAATGGTTCAGAAAAGTGAAAAGGGAATAAAATGAAGTGAAAATGTAGAATCCTGTTCTTCAATTTAGGCGTATTATTCCTTTAAACGCACGAGAGAGAGAGAGAGAGAGAGAGAGAGAGAGAGAGAGAGAGAGAGAGTCTACTAGGTACTTAACTGAACATCAAGTTGTCTTAGCCTCTATGTTGTGTGCACCTGAATTTCGCATCCCTCAGATTTTTTCACTCGCAGAATTTTTTTTTCCCACTACTACTTTATGGGGATGGAACATGTCATAATTTATCTCCGTTTTACATTGAAACATCGAACTTTCAAATTGCCCACTACAGTCTTGGTGCTTGCCTCAGTCTCTTTGCTTCCAAATATTCTTGCAAATCCAAAGTCTGCAATTTTTGGGTTGCATCTCCCCATCTAGAAGAATGTTGCTGGTTTTCAAATCCATGTGAATTACACTTTAGGCTAGAGTCTTGGTGAAGATAAAGCTGCCCACGAGCATCTCAGTTCAGTCTAATTCAACCCTTTTGGGTTATGTACGTTTTGTCCATTGCACTCAGTATTCTTTTCTCCTTTAAATTGTTTATTCGGTGATTCTGTTCCTACTAATAATTTCTTATCAGGCCTAAAGACTGGATTTAATGAACTTATCTCTGTGTGAAATTCGCAATGCAAATCAATTTGTTAGGTGTGCGCACATATTGGACTCTTATGCATACAAGATGAACCAGATGATCAACCAACCATGTCAAATGTTGACTCCTAAACAACCAACCTTTTTTACGTGTAGAGAGTCTAGAGTCCTACCCAACACATTTTCAACTCTTCAGTTTGAGAGTAGCATTCAAGAACACGTAATAGGACAGCTTACACCTTCTTCAACTTCGGTTTATTGTGCTTCACAGAGCAAACATGGATGAATGTCTTATTTTGGAGAATCAATAGAAGAAAGTAAAAGCCAACCATGAGCATGTCTTTTGAGATCTGAATAAAACTTAATGCACATAGCAGTATATTGTTATCCTCTACCACACAACACACTCATCATAAGCAAAAAGTCTCTACTTTTTTTAGTTACCACAAAAGGGACAAGTTGGTTTTTTCTACCCATTTTTGAAAAGAGGGCCAACTTGCCCCATGCCCCCATCCTATTTTTGTTGAGTTAGTGGTGGGTTTGCCTTCATCACCAACTCTAGTAACACAGAGGGTGTTTTGCTTTTAGTATCTTATGATATTTGGTTTATTTGATCCTATGTGATTATTCTATATCTCTAACATAAATCAATTCCTGAAAATAATTTTTTCTGTCGTGTTAATTAAGGATAAGATGATGGAGGCAGAGGTAGTGGAGGCAGAGCTAGTGTTGCCAAGCTACCTCAGTTTTAAGAGAATTCAAATGTATGAGAAATATCCTAAAGGCCAAGCCAGAGGCAGGCACTGGAAACATCTTAAGCAGATTATTCAAGCTGAGAATTACCAGAATTACCCTCCTGATGAACCCAATTGTGAGCTATCGCAGCCATTGTCTATTTATCCGCTTTTTAATCTTGTGCCTAACCCTCCTTTCCTTAATAAATTTTGTATGGGTTTGCTATTTTGTTAGGAAATTCATATAACTGCTGTTTTTTTTTTTTAATCAAAGCAATTCCTGTATATACTCTAGTTCTTTTTATATAGAAAATAAACTGGTAATTTGTGTTTCTTTGAAATTTGAACTGTGTAGAAGATTGGTGGGTTGTTTGGAAACAATTGCATTATTTGGTGAACTTGAGGTGAAACACTTCTTATCTTGGGTTTTATGTAATAAAAAAACAATAGAAAAATTATGTAGTTTTCCATTTTGGGCATAAATTTGAAAGAGATAATGTTGGAGATTTTTTTTATGGTTGTGGTAAGGATAAAGAGGCTGGCTATGAGGAATTTAATTGGAGTAGAATGCCTGAGTTTTCTAGGGCACATCTTTGCCCCTACATCTGTTGTGTGATAGGATTATTTTTATGGTTTCTCTTTGGTTCTTTGCTCATGAATGTTTTTAGGACAGTCTATCTCCAACACGTAGAGAGAATGAGTGGCCTTATTGCACTTATAGGTGGTGTTTGGGCATCAACAGAACAGAATGGAACGAAATGGAACTTTTTTGTTATGTTGTGTTCAACTTGATTCCACCTTTTTTAGTGGAACCTAAAAGTATTACTTTTTAATATTATATCCAGTTCTGTTCTATTTTTAGAATACGCCAAACATAGAACAGATACCATGTGATAGTTTTTGTTCCATTCTAACTCATCTACAAGATGCTACCATAAGCTTCTTTACTTTCTCAGTTTTTTAATTTTTTTTTTTCTCTTTTAGAGGATATGATCTCTCCCTTTAATTATACTTTTTTCTCTCTAATAATATTTCTTCTTTTATATAGATAATAAAACAAACAAATGAAAGAATTTTAATTGTTTAACCTCAGTGCTGGAGACTACTTCCTTCCTATATTCCAATTCCAATTATTTGTTTCATTTACTTGTTATGTCATATATGTTCCATCCATGTCAAAGAATTTTTATTTTTTTATTTTTTTATTTGATTGTCTTGCAGATGTCAACATTGAGTCACCCCCCTCTATGCATCCCTGCAAGAGAATTTGTGATATTACAGGCTTTGAGGTATGTAGTGGTCTTCATTATTCTTGTTCAGTGGTGTTTCTCTGGATATGATTATTATTAGTAGCCCATTACGTCTGTTTGGAATAGAAGAGTTCTGGTTTAGAAGGACAGAAATGCTTTGCATTTGTGGAAGAAGTTTGTGAAATTTTTATTTAAAAGCTATTCTCATCTCACCCATTTTTAAGGAAATTGTAAAACTAAGCTTGTTCTATCTATTTATTGTCTTTATTCGTAATTTAACATCTTATTGAATCTGTGTTGATAGCATTTGAATCTTAAAAATCATGCAAATCTTGCTTTCATGCTAACATTCAATTTTTTGTGATTTTATCTTTTACTTACATTAAAAATTTTGCTTGCTTTGTCTTCTCAAAGTTTTGTGCCAAGAACTATTAATTTTCATCTTAGGATGCTTGTAAGACTACTCAAAGTAACCTTTTTCTACAATTCCTTGGTGCAACAATAATAATTTTTGGTGGCTATACGCATTGTTTATTTTCCTATTTTCCTGCCCAGAACTTTGAATACAGTACCTAACTCTCACAGTTATTCATTTTACCCAACCCCAGATATCTAGTGAACAATAGGACATATTGTGCTTGAATGTCTGAAATGTTTACTTTAGATGACCATGGAGTTTTTATCTTCTGCAGTTGCATCTCTATTTCTTAGCCATTGAATAATCAATTCACTGTCTGCGCAGGGTGTTGTTTTTTTCTGGATAAAGCTCCTTTATATTCTATTCTGACAATCTACACATATCACTAAGATTGTTAAATTGTTTGAGTATGTGTTAGTGTGTTATGTTCTATTTCCTATGATCTGAGTATTTAGTGCCTATTTGATTAGGGCATTCTTAGTTTAGAAAGTAAGGAAAATTTAAGACATGATTGATTGTATATCTCATCAGAATTTGGAACTGGAATACATTCAGCTTGCCCTAATTTAGAAGTACATGTCTGGTTGAGGTTTAGGTCTTACATCTTAGTTGATACTTGATACACGTCAGAAATTAAGAATCATTACAGTTGGAAATGGATGGATAGCGTGAAGTATTTGTATACTACATCGTTTATTTCCTCTTTCTTAATAATTAATCCAAAGACAGGATACTGCAAATGAATTGAACAACAAATACTAGATTCAGATCATGTGACAAACTGAATAATATCTGTTATATCTTATTGAGTCGTACTGCTTTGAATTGATTTCTTCATAGTTGTTAAGCTTGGCCCTGGTTTGTTTAGATGACAATCTGATGGCTGTCGTTTTGAGAAGCTTGTTACTTTGTAGGCTTAACTTAAATATAGCTTAATCTTGTCAATTGGATTACATGTTAAAACAGGAACATATAATGGTAGTAGTCAAAATTGAGGTTCTCTCTAAAATCAGAAGGGGATGAAGTATGGTAAATTGTGTAATCATAACACAGAATGTAAGATCTTATCTAAAATACAAAATCATGAACTAGCAACTTGAGAGAGGTTGGCTTTGTGTTTTGGGTCGAGTTTGATAAAGGTTGAACAGAAGTTTCCATTCTGTAAATGTTATATCTTGAATTAGTAACTGCTTTCAATCTCTGAAAAAATCTCAGTTGTTTTGAATATTTTCTTTTTGGAATGAAAAATTCACATAATCCCCATGAATTGGACCAATCCTTGCTCCATGGTATTTATATAAGATTCCTCTTTCTCGTTCTTAAGTTAAGCAAGTCCCCAGTTTGACATGCTGTGTTGAGTACCCGTGCGATTGATTCTAGGTCGCCCAGCTCAGCCTAGCTCATGCAAATCCCACTTTTTTATGACACTTTCTGGTGATCCCAGCAAGATCTGATGTCTAACTGATCCATTGTGTGAACGGGATCATGCAGGACATGAAACTTGCAGGCTCCATGGGATAAGATCACAATTTCACTACAATGAATCAGACAACAAAAATTATTTATGGGTTAATGTTAGGGGTGGCAATACGGGTCAACCCGACGCGACACGGCACGACACGTTTTTGACCCGTACATTATTTGACACGACCCGTTTTGTAAACGGGTCACAAAACACAAACCCTGACACAACCCGTTGCGGGTTACGGGTCGACACGACACGACCCGCAAAATTTAAAATTTAAAAAAAAAGTGGGATTTTTTGAAAAATAAATAAATTAAAAACAATAAAAAATAAAAATAAAAATAAAAATAAAAAAGATTAGCTTCTGTTTTTTGAGATTTTTAGTTTCTTCTATTCTTTTCGATACTAAACAATGACTATATATATCAATATATAAATGAATAAAAATAATAATATAATAAAATATTTAATAAAAAAATAAAAAATGACACTGTGCGGGTTGACACGCGAACCCGCGGGTTGACACGTGACCCGACACGAAAAAAAACGGGTCACATTTACACAACCCTGACACGACCCGCCCTGACCCGCGGGTTGACACGACACGTGATTTGGCGGGTCGGGTCACGGGTCAACCCGCGGGTCAATACCTGTATTGCCACCCCTAGTTAATGTTGCTCGGTGTGGAATGTGTACATACCTCTGTTTAATTAATTAATTAATTATGAGAATGATGATGATGATGCTGTTTAGGAGTGTGCAAAAAAACTGGTTCACTTGTCCTGCCCTTGATCCGACTTTGACCCGACCCATAAATACCCATATTTTTTGAACTGGTTTAAATACTGACCCACTTTTATTTGGGTCAGTTTTAGACCTGACTCGTTTTAATATTGACCCACTGACCCAAAACTTGACTCATACCCATTATGTGAAAAAAAAATCACAATTACATTAAAAGAAAAGTTTTAACCTAAAACAATTACGTCAAAAATTTTTTTTGGAAAATATTTCCATAAAAATTTTCGCAAAAATTTTTGACGAAAAATATTTTCATCAAAATTTGTGACTAAAAACATATCGATAAAAAAATTTGACGGAATATTTTTTTTGTCAAATTTTTTTACGGAATCTAAATTTCGTTAATATATTTTACAAAAAACTATATTCATAAAAATTTTCGACGAAACACATTTTCATCGAAATTCTTTGACAGAAAAAAATTTCATCAAAATCTTTACAGATTTCAAATTTCGGCGAAAGTTTTCGACGGAAACATTTTCGTTAAACTTTTTGACAAAAAAAATTTCGTCAAAATTTTTAGGGAAACACATTTCTATCAAAAATTTTCAACTAAATATTTTCGTCAAGTTTTTTGATAAAGAATATATCCATCAAAATTTTCAACGGAACACATTTCTGTAAAAAAAATTCGTAAAATTTTTTGTCAAAAAATATTTCGATAAGAAATTTTGATAGAAAAAATATTTTGTCTAAATTCTTTAGAGAATCTAAATTTCGTCGAAAGTTTCAAATGAAACATTTTCTTCAAAACAATTTCCATTGAAAATTTCGACGAAACACATTTCCATCAAAAAATTTCATCAAAATTCTTTACAGATTTCAAATTTTGGCGAAAGTTTTTGAAGGAAACATTTTCGTCATCAAAAAATTTTGACGGCAAAAAATATCGACGACAAAAAATTTCATCAAAATTCTTTACAGATTTCAAATTTCGGCGAAAGTTTTCGACGGAAATATTTTCGTCATCAAAAAATTTTGACGGCAAAAAATTTCATCAAAATTCTTTACAGATTTCAAATTTTGGCGAAAGTTTTCGACGGAAACATTTTCGTCATCAAAAAATTTTGACGGCAAAAAATTTCGACGGCAAATAATTTCATCAAAATTCTTTACAGATTTCAAATTTCGGCGAAAGTTTTCTACGAAAAAATTTTCGTTAAATTTTTTGACAAAAAAAATTTTCGTCGAAATTTTTAGCGAAACACATTTCCATCGAAAATTTTCAACTAAATATTTTCGTCAAGTTTTTTGATAAAAAATTTCCATCAAAATTTTCAACGAAAAACATTTCTATTAAAAAATTCCGTAAATTTTTTTGACAAAAAAAACATTTTGATGAAAAAAATATTCTGTCAAAATTCTTTAGAGAATTTAAATTTCGTCGAAAGTTTCAAATGGAACATTTTCCTCGAAATAATTTCCGTCAGAACACATTCCCATCGAAATTTTGAACGAAAAACATTCCGTCAAATTTTTTGACAAAATTCTTTTTTCGTTTAAAACATTTGATGGAAGAAATCATTTTCGTCAAAACTGTTGACGGAAACTAAATTTCAATAGAAAATTTTTTTTTGTACAAATTTCGACGAAAAAATAATTTTGTGACAAAATTTTCGTCTTTTGCAACGTAAAAATTTCAACAAAATTTTGTGAGAAAACCAAGTCAAAAACGGGTCAGTTCAGATTTGACCCAGTTCAGAAACCAAGTCAGACCCACTTCAGAAACCAAGTCAGACCTACTTCAGAAACCAAGTCAGGTCAGATCCAAACTGGTTCTGAACTAGTTCAACAAAATCCAATCCAAGTCAGACCTGACTTGGATCAAATTAAAGCGGGTCAGGTCAAAATACCTGACCTATAAAAAACAAGTTAAGTCGAGTCGGATAAAAACCTGACCCGACCTGACCCATGCACAGCCCTAGTGCTGTTGGCCCCAATCGCGATTTGGGCTAAAGGCAATATTGATGTTGATGTTGAATGATGATTATGGTGGTGATTATTATTATTCTTATTCTTATTCTTATTATTAAGTATACGGTGTCATTAGCACTTGTACTTGGGAATTAATTGATGTTTACCCTGCAGGCACCTTACTATGATCCTAGGACTAATCTCCGTTATGCAAATGCTGATGTTTTCAAGATCGTCAGATCGCTTCCTAATGAGTATGTTCAAAGATACCTAGCTCTAAGGAATGCAGCAGTGGTTCTTAAGTAGTCTTGTCAGTTCCCTGACTTCCGAGACACCTTATTCTTATTCCTTCATGTTTTCTCTTTTCAATGCTTGTGAATTAAATATTTGAGGATATGAAATATGTTTACTCGTAGGACATTATTAACTTGTGTAATATTACTCTGTCGCCAACTTGGTCTTGTCTGTTAATTAGTTAATTGCGATATTTATATTGATAAATAACATTGCCAATTACTAATAAATGTTTTGTATGTGCAAAAGAAAAAACCTCATTCTATATAGCGAGAAATTCAGTTAACGTCATTTGACTAGGCCAAATTCTAGTTTGACACTTTATGGTTTGGTTATCCATCATTTTAATAAAAATAAAATGGTCACACTACTCTGCTTCCATGGGATAGATTAACTCATTAACATTAACATATTTTTAATCAATTATCAAACTGAATTAGCCATATGTCAAATTTATCGCAAACTCATCACTGTATGTCACATCAGTTGGTAGGAAACTCCTTAGGAGCAGCATAAATCCTCCATAACAAAATTCTGCTTCGAGTCGTTCCTCACTCTGCAATAAAAGATAATTTATTTTGGCTTTTTGACCCCATATTGTAGTTTGTAATTTTGTATCTCTCTCCCTCCAAGCCGTATTTTGAATATTTTCAATAGGAGAAATTCGAAAGACATGTTTTATTTGGTTTATTATACATTATGTTTTGATTTAGCTGGTTCAGTGTCCCTTAGTAATACTAGTCGTGTTGTATGTGTGTTTTCTAATCCTTTCGCCCACGCTTACTCTCATTTTATGCAGAAACTTATGTCGACAGTATTCTATTAGGTTCTCTATGATGAAATGAACAGAGAACCAATTACAATTTTTTGCAAATTGTCTTAAGCATGCATTGCAAACGCTTTCAATATGAGGGAAAAATATTTAAAATGACTGAAACAAAGTACTTGTTCCGGATGACCCAAGTACTAAAGTGGCCCAACTATCCAGGCCCAATATCGGGTGTGACCCCGCGTCAGCCCTAAGGGCTGACATGGACCTTCTCAACCCCCAATGTAGCGGCAGGTCCAAGGCATACACCAAAATGTCCCACCTTGGAACGCTAACCATCGAAGGCGACTACGTAAGACACCGCAAAGGGAAACTCTCCCTTTGCCCGGTGCTGACATCGCCAGAATACAGAGGGCGCAGCACTGCCACAATGACAGCGCCAGCACGCCTAACACTGCATCATGGGAGTAAATCCCAAGGAGAGTTGACCTCCCTCTCACCAACCCACACCGTTTCCCCTATAAATAGCCCCCATGGGCACACCTTACAGGTATCTTATGTATCGTTATATTGCCCATTTACTTGAGTCATATCATCCTTTTGCTTATTATCTATTCACTGCTTACACTTGGCTTTATACTTCTTGGCCTGGTCTATATCAGTGCTAAGGGTATTATCCATAATTGACTTATCCCCATCGGAAACATAGTGGGCTTATAGATCTCATCGGTACAGTACTAAAATATGAATGTTTTTGTTTTTTTGTTTCTTTTTTCCTCCATAAAAACAAGCTAGTCAAGTTGCGACTTCCAATTTTAGAAGTGGTACAACAGAACCTGTATGTACCCTCATAAAAAAATAATATAAAATAAATAAATGGTAGAAAAAATGTGAACAAATTAAAAATCTATGTAAAAGAAAGAAAAAAACTGGAGACCCGAATGGAAATCCCGTTGAGAATTAAAAAAATGAAATAATAACTTTAGGGGTATAGAGTCAGAAGCTCCATTGGGCAAAATATGTTTGAGTATAGCCATATCAACTTAACCTCTTAATTGATAATCATTGGTTTAAGAGATATTGGCCCCTATAGTGGGTCTTACAGCACTCAAATTAGATTAATTAGATGATCGACAAATCCATGAATATATGAAAAAAAAAAAAAAAAAAACAGACTTAACCTCTTAATTTGTAATATCATTTCCTCATCTAGGTAATACAGAACTTAACGAACACTTGAGCCCATAGGCTTGGTCTTTAACCACCAAAGCTCGGGTGCAATACTTGGTACAAACAAAAAGTAAAAAAAAAATAACAAAATACAGACCTTAATGTCAAGCTAACTTCTACTTTTACATATAGAGAGACATATTTTAATAAATAAATGCAAATTAACAGGTCTAGTTAATGTCAATATTTTACAAAAACAGACATGGCTTATGTAAAAAGAAAACCTTGTCCAACTTAACCTGTTTTTATTCTTATTTAGAGGTAAATCCAAGATAATTAAGAAATTAAAGTGCAAGTGGATGAATGTTTCAAATTATAGTAGTGGAACTCCGAACTTTTTAGCCTTAGAATTGATGGTGCGCAGCAGGAAAAAAAAAAAAGTCAAATAAAATATATTCAAGAAAAATTATATATTTGTTGACACACAATAAGACTTTTAGTTTCCCATGAGTGAAACTAATCCCTGCTGGTATATAAATTCCAACAATCAAGTAAAATTGAAACAGTATTGAACTGAATGTTCTATCTGAGATGGATGAAGGGGGTTCATAACTTACCAACTGATATAGGATCAGTATGTACAAAAAAACTTGCAGAAACTATCAAATAGCAAAGAATGAGCATTATTCCTTTGAAGTAGTTCGAAGTTCCATTCTACATGTTGAAACGAAGTTCAAGTAAAGATCAAGTCCATGCAGATGTAGGTAGTTCACATAATAAATCACTATAAAAACGATAAATTAGTACAATATTCTCATTCATAGATATTCAACAAATCGAGGGTTGGAAGGGAAGAAAGATATTGGCATAGTAATTGACTTACGTGCAACATGAAGGCAACTATGATAACAGTCATGAAAAGGGAAGTTGTCTCGAAAGGTTGAAAATTCAAGTCCATAGGGCACTCAATCATCCATCCAACAACCACACAAAAAGGAATCTGTAAAATCAATCTTCAATGTTACTCAAATTAAAATCTATGTTTCTTAAAATACTTCGTTCTGATCATTTAGAATGTTTATTGACATGAAGGATTGTGGTTTGGCCAAGAAAATATATATTCTCAATGTCTAAGTGCCTTTGGTTTAAAATACATTTTACTTAGTGGTCTTAAAGTTCAAGAGAAATTTAAGGATCCACATACAAATTCTGTAATCACGCATTTCAACTTTAATGTGAGTCATATTGGTTCTTTACATGTAAAACAGCCCAAATATAGTGAGTGATGATATTAGAGTTTCCTTAACGAAGTTAAAAGTTTAATTCTTATCATCTCCATTCTTCTAAGTAATTTATAAGTTTAAAATAACGTTTATATTTGTTCTTTCACAATACTTTTGCTTTTAGGGTCCTTGTGAGAGGGTGTGTTAGAGGAGATGGTTGTTTATCATGGTATCAGAGCTATGGAGTCACGAGTTTGATCCTCACCGCTTCCCACTAGAGATATAATATAAAATCATTGGCTTTGATATCACTTGTTGGGCCGACAGGGGGAGTTCATGGCGAGGAGAGACCGCCATCCATGGTTAAGTGAATAACGACATTAAGTGTGGTGTTAGCCACCACAATCAACCCAAAACCTTAAGGCATTAGATGCATGAGTCCTTTTAGTTATATTGCGCTCACTCAATCCATTCTTAACCTATGTGAGATTTCACTCACTCACACTTGGATTCCCCAACAACTTCCTTGTTGACATGGTTGCTACTAGGTCAACCAACTAGTATCTTCAGTATTATCGTTGACAACATCACTACTCTTAAACTTTTGTGATGACATTTGCTTCTATCAGGTCATGGTAGCCTCCGTATTATCAAAATGTTATCTTTTATTGATTGTTCTTTTATAGCTGTTAAGGCAAATCTTCTTCCCGTAATGAAGACAACTTCAGTATTGCACTCACTTTTACCTTTACCTTTGTTGCTTTGACATCTCCTGGCAATTTTAATATTGTCATGTGTCACTTGTTTCCACGTGTAATAAAATTTCATTTTGATCCCAACAACTTCAAAATCAAATGTAAAGGTGTTTCTTTCTCTTTCTCTCTGTGTCTCTCTCTCTCTCTCTTTTCAAGATGGATAATAATTTTTAATAAAGGTACAAATTCATTAACCAGCAACCTCTCGTCTTAAGGTAGTTGCATATGCTTTATATTTGTATCTAACTCACTAAAATATAGCTAGGGAAATATAATATTATTCTTTAAACTTTCATTAAAAGAGAAAAGCTTACCACGAACATTGATATTTGTATTGAAGACCCTACAGCTACTCCCATAGATATGTCCTATATGAATGACAGAGCCAGGTCAGATGTAGAGGAAATCATATTCATCTTCATTTATTATTCAAATTATTTTGTTTTCCTCATACGAATTAAATTTATCACATTTTATCTTAATGTGTGCAATTTTAAGGAAAGAGAACGTAGAACTCTCTTATATTTATGCATAAACTGTTCATATATGTTAAAATCACATCATTACTGGTTAGGGTTAATTAATACTCACGAGTTTGTCTTTGACAGCAAACACGATTGCTCCAACATGTTCTGCAGCATTCCCAACTACAGGGAGAAGAATAACACTAAGAAATGCCACAGGCATTTTAAACTCTTTCGATGCCCCCTGAAAATATTGCATATGCTACAAGTATAGCTCAGGCCATAAGATTACCAATAATGGGAAGAAAAAAAAAAGGTAAACTATGAATATGCTAGTACTAAGCACTAATGAAATCCAAAAGGAAATATAATTCATAAGAACTTAAACTTTCCAATGTAAAAGAACATTTGGAATTTGCAAATCATAAAATAATAGGTAAATGACTGACGGAAACTATTAATAACCCATTTCAACATAGGTCATCCTATGTTAGTACTAAGTAAAAAATGAAAACATGTTACCCCAAAAAAAATATGAAAACAAAAAGAGAAAAACAAAAAGAAATCAAACAAGATAAAAGGTAGATTTTCCATTACGACAAATATATTTCGATTGCTTTATAAGTCAAGGAAATGAATAAGGTGTTAAAAGGCAAGAAAATGATTCTTAGTTTCCAGAGAGATATATGAGAAAGAAAAGAAAAGGGAAAAGAGAAAGAATACTTCCTTCCCTAATGTTTTACTGAATTACAACTAAGACCAAAGTAGAGAATTCTCTTTCCAAGGATTTATCCTTCATAAATGGTTTTCCCTTTCTACAAACAGCACTAATACTCAATTCCCAAATGATTACAATTCTGAATGCCTCCTCTTCTACCATCTCCTACCATTTAAGCTAATTTCCTATCTATAATAAATTTAACTGCCCAAACATAACAATTATAACTAACTAACTAACTACTCTCTGGGCCCTATAATAAGGTGACAATGAAAGAGAGGACATAAAATTTCTAAGAATTTAATTTACCTCTATAGTGTTAACCAAGTATTCTGACAGGACCGATATACCTCCTGTTAAGATTGACAGCCATATCATTGATTCCCTCATAGAAATCTCAGGAGCTTCTGCATCATCTGAAGTCTCTTCATTGAGACCCGTATCCTAAAAATCATTAGTCACAGTTATAAATTAAGTCAAATATTATGTCAAACCTCAGAGTTCACTATACGTGGATCATTAATTGCATAATATTTTGATTTTAAATGTTTCCCAATGTTGAGATACTAAATTGGAAGATTAAATGTATGGTAGAAATCTTTGCATCATAGCATAGGATTTATATTTGTAAAATGTTCAAACCAACATTGATATTATCATTAGATATAATATAAAAGGGTTTATCTTTTGTCATGTCACATGACATAAAGTTATGTAATGTCATCCAAAACTACATCGTTTTGAGAGTTAGGGGAATTAATGAAGGGTGTTTTGGTAAAATTCATATAATAAATAAGCAAAAAAAAAATACTAAAACACCCTTCATTAATTTCCTTAACTTCCAAAACGACATAGTTTTGGGATGACATGATTTAACTTTATGTCATGTGACATGACGAGTAATGAACCCTACAAAAAATCAATGAAGGTTCATCACTTACAAGCTTAAAAGGTTAGGAGAAATGATTGTTTACATGGTAGGCTGGGCTGCTGCATCATCCACCCTTCAAAATCAATGGACTCTCGAGTAGGTGGATATTGCACATGTCATTTTTTTGGTTCTACCTTGTGCTGACTGAATTCCACTAGAAAGTGGGGCCGTGATGATCAAACTCATTCAAGCTCAATGGGCTCTTGTGTGATTGGAATTGCACATGACATTTTTTTTTGTTCTACCTTGTGCTAACTAAATTTCTCTAGAAAGTGGGGCGGTGAGGATCGAATTCGTGATCCAGTACTCACAAAAGTTTTGATACCATGATAAACAATCATCTCACTTAAAAGCTTAAACTTGTAACTGATGGCCCATCAATGACTTTTATATTATATTTCTCTAACAAGTTAGATATAATATAAACCATTGAAAGCCCATCTCTAACAACAAGTTTTTAGGTTGAAATGGTTCTTTATCATTATCCACTATCAAATATTAATGAGTTACACAATATATTGAATCCTGTATAAACACATTGAGAGAAAAATAAGTTATGTTAAATCTGCCTCTACCAAAGCATCTATCTACCGATGTGTGTGTATATATATGTTCTGTTTAGTAAAAGAAAGAAAACAACCATTGAGGCCTAACCTCATGAACTGGGACTTGTAAATTCTTCTGACTCTTCACTTGAAACACTATATAGGAAGCATAAGCCAGAAGCATAATGCAACTAGTAAATCTTGAAAGAGTTAACTCAGATTTCTCATGTTCTAATTCTGTGTTTGTAGCTTGGAGGACAGCTGGAAGTAACAGGCCCATTACTGCCATCAATAGTAATCCAAAATCCACAGGAGCATCTGCCTGATGATTACAGAAGGTCAATTTCTGCTATATTGTGACAGCCAAGTCATGAAGTATATGAAAGATAAAAAAAAAAAAAAAGGAAATGTTGTTGATAAATCAAAATCATACATGGTTAAATACTTGTTCTCTCTTATAAAACACTAGTCCACCAGCAAAGAATGCACATCCAAGCACTAACAACAGGTTCGACAAAATTGAGCCTAGTAGTGATTGTTGAACAAGACGAATTAAGCCACTTTTGAGGGCGTGAATTGAGATAATTAACTCTGTTGCATTTCCAAATGTGGCATATAAAAGACCACCAACTGCAAAGTCAAATTGGAGATGAAGTAATTAAAATAAGCTGCTAAGGCTTCTGCTACACATCAGAATAAGAAGAGAATATTGACAGAAGGAATTTATTAAGAGAAGAATACATATAGCAGTGCGGATGAATTTCATGAAACACAATCACAAAAAGTTTACAAATTATGTTGTAATTGAAGAAGGGAAAGCAAAATGTACCTGCAGGTCCAGTGAAGAAAGCTAGTTGCCTGCATTGAAAGCAGGCCAAAAGTTGCTTTATAATCAAATTCTTAAACTCTCTTTCAAATAAAGTCTATTTGAATATGTTCTTCAAAGCATCACATACATTGATTTCAGAGCATGCTTGCCAAAGTAACCATGAAAAAAAATGAACAAATCTCAAATCGTTTCTACCATCTTCATTAGAAGAAAGACAAGAAATAAAAGCTTAATATATGGATATTGGATAGACTGATTTTTGTAAGAGGTTTCGATAACAGTTGCAAAACTTAATTGCAAAATTATTCCCGCATGTCTCATTCATGAGATAAACAAAAAGAACACAGTTTTGTACCAAAAAATAAAGAACACAAAGTTAGTAATACATGTTCAGTTACCACCAAGTTTTATTTGCAACTAAGATGTTTAGTTAAATTTGTACAAACAGTTTCCACAGTATACGTCCATTAGTCACACCATTATGTGTAGCCTAATCTTTAAACTTTTATTTTCAAAGTTCACTTAATAATTTAGAGTAACTTACTCTGTTGTATAGCCTAAACGCTCTGCCAAGGGTATAATGCCTAATAAGCTGAAAAGAAAGACCAAACCCTGAGACACATTTGAAGAAGTCAGCTAAATCCACAGGATTATTCAATTATACATTAATCAATTGCATGATTAACAATGTAATCAACATGTAACAAGCAGATGAATAATGAAACTTACATGACTATCAAACAATTTGTCTACCAAAATTGCCATGGGGCCAAAAGGCATGAGTAAGGTTATCTTGGTGGAGAGGACTACCACTTTAATGCTACTTAGCACCTTACTTCTGATTACATCTTGTGAGAACTTCTCACAGTCCTGATCAATTGGTGAATCCTCTTCAAAGGATAGATTTTTTCTAGGAAATGAAGAAGGATTAAGTAGGCTGGCTTCTTCAAGTTCTATCACAGTTCTTCCCTCTAAGGATCCCATCTGCAGAGTCAAATCTTTCTTAACATAAAGATATTACTAATTATATAAAGAAAAGTACCAAGTGTAATGATATAAATAAGTTTTAACATGCGTATATATATACAGAATTAGAAAAATTAAAATCAAACATGAACATGGAATGGATATGTAAAGAACCAATTCAACCCAAAAGCTTAAGCTATTGGGTGAGGCTACATTAATGGTTTTTATATATCTCAATACGCCCCCTCACACGAGAGCCCACTGGACTTGAAGGGTGGACAATGCACAGGCCCATCTACATGTGCGAAGGAAGAAATTCCACTAGAAAGAAAGTGGGGGCGACGAGAATCGAACCCGGTACACCGAGGCTCTGATACCATGTAAAGAACCAATTCAACCCAAAAGCTTAAGCTATTGGGTGAGGCTACATTAATGGTTTTTATATATCTCAACAGATATATATGTGAGCAATTGAGGAATTGTTACACAAGAGGACATACCGACATAGGCCTCTTCATTGTTTTAATTTTTTCTGTGTCCTTATGGTAATGTTTCCCAAATGAATCAAAACTAGTACCTGCATGAAAAAAGGTAAATATCAAAACATTAAAAAATATAGGGTCAAGTGTGTGTCCTTTTAAATGACACAAGTTGTGTCATTTTAGTTTTTAACATTATGTATTACCAGTAGTACATAGTTATAATATAAAAAAAAAAAATCTCTCTCCATGTCAGCTGAAGTGCCTGATGAAAGAAGAAAAAAAAATAACTTTTCATATTATAACTATGTACTACCCATAATACATAATGTTAAAAATTAGAATGACACAACTTGTGTCCTTTAAAAGAATAAATATTTTTCCCAAAAATATATGATATTGGTGAGCAATCAAGGAGACGTAGTAGATTAAGTTAAGTTTATCCTTGAAATGCAGATTAACTGAAGTTTATAGCAGATTGTGCTATGAAGCTCTCTCTCTCTCTCTTTCTGCGCAAGGTTCAGAAAAGGTCTATATTATATATAGTAGGCAGTCTTAGCATGCATTTGCAAAATGACACCATACGGTCACATGGTGAATTGGTGACAACATCAATGGTTGTGAACAGCGTACGGTGAAGGCGAAAGGTTTTTCCAAAATTACTTCTCCAAGGATTGAAATTTTGACATTGGGATTCAAACAGTCACTTTTAACCATTGAGATGGCCACCATTGAATAACCAAAAAATAAAAGGAAAGAAAACAAAAAAAAAACTGAACAAACTGTTACTTTTATAATGAAATTTTATATTTAACCTTGGTAGATAGTCTAACTAAGCCAAAAGATAGAGATGAAAAATGAAATCAAAATAAAAAGAATAAACTGACCTTTCACAATTCCACAGTCTAAACCAATTTAGATGTGGATCTATAGTCACAAGATGAGACAACTCAACTGAACGCGGATAATGAATAAGTTATAGATAAGAGAAATCTAAAAACCAAATTGGTTAAAGAGAAATTTTTCTATAAAATCACATTTTCTTGTTCTTTGGTTATAGAATCTGCCATAGGTGGAGATCAAGTTGTTGAGAAGATATTATAGAAAAAGAAAAAAATTAAGAACTGAATTTACCTAAACTCATTGTCCACGTGGCTCCGATGGCGCCAACATCGCCTATTTGTCTCTCAGTTTGAAAACAAAGCACCTGCTCTCTCTCTCTCTCTCTCTCTTTTTTTCCTTTTACATTTTTAAAAAGCACATGCTTTTATTGAAAAATTCATAAGATGAAATAACAAACCATGCACATGTTATTGGGATTGGGATTCCGCTGTTATTAAGTATTGTAATGATCCCTTTTTGGATATTTTTTTTGGGTTTGCTTTTTCTGCAGTTAGATAAGTTATTTGCAGTAAGTCAATACGACGTCGTTTTAGGACGGAAATTATGGTGTTTTTGTAATTTTAATTTATTTCAGGGTTATAATAGTCTTTATACTTATAATTTTTTAAGATTTCAATACCAAAACGACGTCGTTTTGGGAATAAATGCAGATAATTTATCTGCATTAACTGCAGAAACATTTTTCCCATTTTTTTTCCTGCTCCGGGATTATGTTTCTTTATATATTTTTTTTTCTTTTTTTGGTAAACAATTTTGATGTTTTTTTTATGTTGTATAGGTGCTCTGTCCACCAAATTCATAATTCATTCTATAGCAGTTGATTGTAACTTTCTATCTTTGGATTCCAAAAGTTTAAAGAGAATATAGGTTACTCTATTTTAATTCCAGGTATTCTCATAAATTATAGTGAGAATGTATAGGTTGATTGATTAAAAGAGTATTAAAAAAACTAATGTTTTTTAAAAAATTAAAAAAATATATTCGAATGGAATAATTTTGTTTTGTGGACACGTCATCTGTGTAATATGTCACTTCACGCGGCGCTAGTTACACCTATTTAAAAAAAGAATTTTATAAGAGTTATGTTGTAGGAAAAGTGATTGTGTAATGTTATAGAGATTCGTTTTGTGTGCTGTAATTTCTTTTTTTTCTTTTTTATTAAAAAAGTGTGGGCCCCACAAAATATTGTGTGTAGAAAAATTTGTTGTGTCATGTTAAATGACAAATGCAAATCCCTTTAAAAAATAAGCTTAGAAAGTGCCAAATGATCCGTATTTGAAACATGTGAGGTGTCAAAATAGATTGACACAACATAAATTTGACACGATATGAATATACACATCATGAATATGGCATGAATTTTTTGCAGGTTGACACGACACGACATAAATATTAACATGTGAACTATGAGTTAAAATAGTAATTGACCAAAAGAAATTAAAAAAATGGGTCGAAATTAAAAAAATGGATCGAATTCGTGTTGACATGATACAATATGCAACTTGACACAAATTTTTTGTGTATCAATTTTTCCAACACAAACATGCTACGTTTTTTTTGCGGCTCAACTTGAATATGAATTTTCATGTCATGTCGCAGATTGACCCGTGTGTCAACCTATTTTGACACCCTACGTGTGACTAGATTATCCCATTTTGATTTTTTTCTATATTTTGTTGGAAATAATTTTATTATATGCCTTTGATCAATGTACCGAATTTATAATAATAGGTTGATTGATCAATGTAGTGAATTTGTTTTACTAAAATAATGTAAAATAAAACTTATTTATTATTCCCTAACTATTATTAATTCATGTTATCTACTTTCTTATTATAGAACCTGTTTGGGATTCTTGATGAACACTTGATGTTTCTTTTTAACTTGTAGCAGTTTCTCGTAATACATTGTATTATTGTAGGCTTCTTTGATTGGTAGAAGGATTATTTTTAGATTGCCGAAAAATTGATGTTGGAATCTTATATATTTATTCACGTTTGATATAAGTTTGACTGTTAAAGGGCTGAGTCGAACCGGGGCTTTGGTTTTGAAAGGTTAAGCTTTTGTTTAAATATGTTAAACTGGCCTAGCCTGTAATCTATTATGAATATAATTATCGGTCTGTGGTCTGTTTTATTTACAAAAAATAAAAGCCTAACTTATCCTGTTAGCCTATTAAATAAAATCAAAACAACCAAAATTTATTCAAACAGAATATATGGTCAACAATACTAATAATTTCATAAAAATTCATAAATTCAATGTATATCCAAACAACATAATATAGAACAAAATTATTTAAAAAATGCTTGGAGATAGCAAAAATCAAAAGAGAAAACGATGGTGAAATGCTTGGAGATGGCTTCCACGAGAGAACGGTTGCTTGATGGTTTAAGTGGGATGGGCGCGATGATAGGAGTGAAAATTAGGTTAGTATAAAAATATAAAATAAAATAAAAAGAGTTAGTAGGTTAGTCTTATGGGTCTTAAAATCGAGCTTTTGAATTGGAGCTTAATATTTTTTTATTAAATAAATTTTTATATAAATCTAAATCTGAACCCAACACCAAAACCAGGATTATAAGGTTTGTGAAAATTTTCCTGGAAATTTGATTTTCCTATAATTCTTATTGAACAATTTGTAAAACAAAATGCCATCCAAGAATCAAGGTGGTATTCTTGGATTCTCGGGACAATGGAAAATTTCACACGAAAAAACTGACAAAAATTACCCTCCCTAATAACCCTATCCGCGATATGCCCTCTTCACAAAATTGATAAGAGAAAGACCACCTTTAACAAGGTATTTCACATGAAAAATACGTCTTTATCTCGTGTTCGATAAACCCTGAATGTGGTCAACGATTTTGGGTAAGCTTCGTTTAATTATTTATTTAATGTTTTGAGATTGTTTGGGAGCAATTTGATTGGAGGAATGAGGGTTTGTTTGGTTATGGGGTTTGTGGGAAAATTTGGGGGGGTTTGATTATGGTTTGGGTGTTTGGGATGAATTAAAGGAGGAAAAGGGTAAACACCGAAGGTGTGTGGAGGAAGAAAGTGTTTGGAGAGTGCAGTAAGGTTTGGGAGGAAAGAACAAAGAGCACAAGGGTAATTTGATGAAAGGGGAAAGAAAAACACAGGGAGGGTTGGAAGAACGCGTAGGGAATGAAATGAAATGAAATGAAGCAGAATCAATGGAGGAAAATGAAAAGACAAATACGAGCGTATCAGGTACTGAATAATGGATTTGCAAAATGCAAGCTATGTCACACAGTTATAAAGGTTATTTTTTATAAAATCACCTTACATCCTCAATAATATTTGACTATCAACCAAATATAGAATAAAAAAATTTGAGTTAACATTTGTGATAATATTTTGGTCTATTAAACAGTTTTTTGGTCACAATTCCGAGAAATTTACTTTCCGAGCATATTTATGGGAATCATGATTCTTACGGACAAAAATATTTCCTCTCTACCAGACGCCTCTAAATATTTTGACAAAAACTAACATATGCTATGATTTTTTTTTTTGAAAAGCAAACAGGAAACATAAAAACAAAAAAAGAAACTAGGAACACCTCCTAGACCAAACTACTCCTACATAGTCCCTTTCAAGTTTGTCACGACAACCAGAAGGAGGCGAGTCAAACTCTTGTAAAGACCAATCAAAGGAGTAGGCAAAAGAGGCCATCCAATCGGCAACCCCATTCCCTTCCCTATGAATATGAGAAATTCTAACCCTCCAATTCCAATCCAGCATATTCCTTATGCGCAAGACCAAGTTAGAGGCTGGATGATGAGAGCTGCACCCTTCTCTTATGAAAAACTGGGCTACTAAGGAATCACCTTCAAGCCAGACAAAACGGAAACCTTTCCTCCATGCAATCTCAAGCCCAAGGAGACAACCCCAAAGTTCTGCTAACAAAACATTACCACAGCCAAGATTTTTACAAAAGCCAACAAGCCACCTTCCACTAGCATTCCTAAATACACCCCCACAAGCAGAAGCTTCTCCGTTATTCATACTTGACCCATCCACATTGAGCTTAACCCAAGGGTCCGAAGGAAAAACCCAAGAAACTAATTTCTCTTTATTCGAGTTAGTCTCAAGACCAGCAACCCGAAGCGTGT